CCTGGAAATCAATGGGCATATTATCGAGAGGCACCATGGTTTTGTGAAGGGGTGGTCATGTCTCACTAACTTGGTTAAGTTTTTTGAGGAAGTGATGAAGATGATTGATGAGGGTAGGGCAGTGGATGTTGTCTACCTGGAGTTCAGTAAGGCCTTTGACAAGGTCCATCGTGGCAGGCTGATACAGAAGGTAATGTCGCACAGGGTCAGAGGTGAGCTTGCAAGATGGATAAAAACCTGGCTCAGTCATAGAAGACAGAGGGTAGCTGTGGAAGGGTGCATTTCTGAATGGAGGGCTGTGACTAGTGGCGTTCCTCAGGGATCAGTGTTGGGACCTTTGCTGTTTGTAATATATATAAATGATTTGGAGGAGAATGTAACTGGTCTGTTTGGTAAGTTTGCCGATGACACAAAGGTTCGTGGAATTGCGGATAGCGATGAGGACCTTCAGAAGATACAGCAGGATATAGATTGGTTGGTGACTTGGGCAGAGACATGGCAGATGGAGTTTAATTCAGAAAAATGTGAGGTAATGCATTTTGGAAGGTCTAATCCAGATGGAAAGTATACAGTAAATGGCAGAACCCTTAAGAGTACTGATGGGCAGAGGGATCTGGGTGTACAGGTACACAGGCCACTGAAAGCAGCAACGCAGGTGGAAAAGGCAGTCAACAAGGCATATGACATGCTTGCCTTCATCGGCCGGGGCATTGAGTTTAAAAATTGGCAGGTAATTTTGCAGCTTTATAAAACATTAGTTAGGCCGCATTTCAAATTTTGTGTTCAGTTCTGGTCGCCACACTACCAGAAGGATGTGGTGGCTTTGGAGAGGGTACAGAAAAGATTTACCAGGATGTTGCCTGTTATGGAGGGCATTAGCTATGAGAAGAGGTAGGAGAAACTTTGGTTGTTCTCACTGGAACGACAGAGGTTGAGGAGGGTCCTGCAAGATTATGAAGGGCATGGACAGACTGGACAGTTAGAAGCTTTTTCCCAGGGTGGAAGAGTCAGTTACCAGGGGCCATGGGTTTAAGATGCAAGGGGCAAGGTTTAAAAGTGACGTACGAGGCAAATTTTTTACACAGAGGGTGTTGGGTGTCTGGAACTCGCTGCCGGGGGAGGTAGTGGAAGCAGATACTATAGTGACTTTTAAAGGGTGTCTTGACAAATATCTGAATAGGATGGGAATAGAGGGATACGGTACCCGGAAGTGTAGGGGGTTTTAGTTGTGACAGGCAACGTGTCGATGCAGGCTTGGAGGGCCGAAGGACCTGATCCTGTAGTGTAATTTTCTTTGTTCTAGTTGATGGATTTAGTTAAGGAATATTACAAACCCAAGCCTCCTCTAATTCTGAGAAGCTTTCAGTTTTATTCAGCTGTTTGAGAACGAGGGGAATCAATAAGAATTATTGATGAAGTTAATATGACTGGCAGAAGCATGTGATTTTGGGGAACCCTGAATGAGATGCTGAGAAACTGTTTGGTATGTGGGATTAATGTAACCATGCAAAAGCATCTACCAGCTGAAGCCCAACTGGACTTTTAAACAGGCACTACAACTGACTTTGTTATTAGAAAATATCGGAAGCAGAGATTTACAAGGCATCCCAATGGAAGTGGACACCCTTACCTGTGTAACTGAACTTGGGGAACACGACCTGAGTGTGGGCAATCGCAGGCACTCAAGCAGAGCATATGCTGAGCGGAGGGACCCCAGGTCAACCCACAGCAAAACCCCATAACAAAGCCAAGCATCATCCAAAATGCTAAAAGGGTCTTCAGGATCCAGACAGGCAAGCCATTGTAGTTGCTTCCAGTATGCAGTCTTGAGACAGCAAATGAGTCCTAGACTTAAACTGAGGCTGGTATCTAGGAGAGTGCATACCCTGGAAAGTCCATCTATATGTTAAATTGCTGAGCAACATCCAAATCAGAAGCAATTAAAATAAATGTCTGGTCAAATGGTCACCTGGTTCTCATGGATGTTGATACTGATGTAGCTATATCAGTGGTTGCAGAACCAGACTTTAGCAAGATTTGCTGTGGACTCCACCCCTTAAGTTTGCGTAAGACCTCAGCCAGACTGAGAACATACACCAGGATCCATTACACATTGAGGGTACGACTTCGTTTCTGGTCTTCTATGAGAAGCAATTGGTGCTGTTATCTCTGATTGTAGTAAGAAGCTCAGACCCAAGCCTGATGGGGTGGAATTGGTTAAGAAAGATTCACCTTGATTGGCTCAACGTTTTTCGACTAGAAAACGGCTGCCTGAGTGAAGTCCTAATTAAATACTCAGAAGGGCTAGGGGCTATCAAAGGGGTCAAAGCCATTTTATGTGTTAACCAGGAAGCTATTCTGCAATTTTGCAAGTCATACCCAGTGTCATTTGCCTTGCGGGCAAAAGTAAAGGTGCAAGTCAGGAGGCTGGAAAACAAAGGAATCATCAAACCAGTGCAGTTTGCAGAATGGGCAACACCGGTCATACCAGTTGTGAAGTCTGACAGCTCAGTTTGTCTTTGTGGGGATTTAAGCAAACAGTAAACTGCTTCTTGCAGCTGGATAAATACCCAGTCCTTTGCATAAGAGACCTTTTTACACGAATCTGGCAGAGGGGCTGTCCTTCACAAAGCTGGATGTGAGCCACACCTACGTACAATCGCGACTAGATGAGGAGTCCCAGAGGTATGCCATAATTAATACCCATAAGGGTTTGTACCAATATACAAGACTTCCATTTGGGGTAACATCAGGCTGCACCATTTTCCAATGGACAATGGAAAACGTTTTACAAGGGCTTCCCTAGGTTGCCATTTATCTGGATGACCAGTAAAGAGCACATAGTGCTTAAACATTTCTGCCAGGTAGGCTACGCCTTAGAAGGGAAAAATGTGTATTTCGGGCATCCCAAGTGACCTGCTTGGGCTACAGAGTCGACCAAATCGAGTTACACCTGTTGGAAGATAAAGTGGGGGCAATCAAAGGTGCCCCAGCTCCCACATCTGTACTGGAGCTTAGGTCTTTGCTTGGATTGGTGAAGAATTACGGGAAATTCATATGTAACACAGCTTCCATCTTGGCACCCTTGCAACTGCTATTGAAAAAGGGTCAGCCGTGGAAATGGTGCGTAGCCAAGAAGTAGCCTTTAGGAAAGTGAAAAAGCAGCTATTGTCATCTAAGGTGTTGGTCTACTACGATCCCAAGCAAGAGATGTTGCTGACATGCAATTCCTCCCCTGTATGGTTTTGGGGTAATGTTGACTCACTGGTGTCACAACAGAGTGGAACGCCCGATGGCATATGTTTCCCGGACTTTGGCCGAATGCAAAAATGCCCAGTCGAGAAGGAAGGTTTGGCGGTCATCTTTGGTATGAGAAGGTTCCACCAATACCTTTTTATGGACATAAATTCGTCATAGTAATGGACCACAAACCCCAAGGCAGTGCTGCCCTTAGCTTCTGGTCGAAGTCAGCGTTGGTCCCTTATTCTCAGTGCGTACAATTACAAGGTGGAACGCTCTCAGGAGGCCAAGTGGCAAATGCAGATGCCTTAAGCCGCCTCCCACTGGCAGATACTTCACCAGTGGTTCCTTCCCTGGAGGAGTCCATTCTGGTTTTAAACTTGCTGGACACCCTTCCAGTCACTGCTGACAACATCCGACTGTGGATCAAAAAGAGTCTGTCCTGGAAAAACTAAAACAGCTGGTGCTAATGGGGGACACAGAAGGGCCGTCACAACCAGGATTGAAACTTTTCTGGGCCCAGCGAGATCAGATCACTGTAGAGGATGGCATGTACTATGGGAAACAAGAGTGATTTGACCCAAGTAATGGTTGCCACCAGATATTGGCTGAACTCTACTAATGTCATCCAGTGGTTTCCAAAATGAAGATGTTAGCAATAAGTTGTGTCTGGTGGCCAGGATTGGATGCCAACATAGCTGTATTGGCAGGGCAGTGCCCAGAGTGTCAGTAAGGTCAAATATTACCACTGGCAGTGCTCCCATATTCATGGAAATGTCTAGGTAAACTGGGGACAGGGAATGGGGAACGGGATGTAGTGATCAGAACTAGGGCCAGGTGGATATCATTGACTGAGATCCTTGATTGGGTTGTTAACGTGGGCCAATCAGGGAGTCCTGGCTGACAGATGTAAACAGGAGATTCAGAAGGTCTGCTCAGTCTAGGGAATGGCTTTGAGCTGGATGGTCAGGGCCATGTACTGTGTACATATAAATAAAGGGTGACTTAGTGTTGGGATTCTGTCCTCTGTGCAGCTATTTCAAAGTGTTAAAATGAATTTTACCTTGAGAAATAATCAAATTTGCTGCAAATTTATCATATACTACCAACTTTCCCTGCATACTAGAATCATTAGGTCATAGAGGTTTACATTGACAGAAAAAGGCCCTTCAGCCCATTGAGTCTGCACAGGTCGAAAACAACCACCGAATTTCAGCGTTCGGTTTGTAGCCTTGGCATCGCAAGAGTACATCTAAATATGACTTAAATGTTAGGAGGGTTTCAGTCTCTTACTACATTTTCAGGCAGTGAGTTCTGGATTTTGACCACCCTCTGGGTGAAAATTTTTTCCTCTCATCCCTTCTAAATCTCCTGCCCCTTACCTTAAATCTGTGCCCCCTGTCATTGATTCCTCCATCAGTGGGAAAGGTTTCTTCCTGTTAACTTTGTCTATGTCCCTCATGCACATCTCAATCATATCACCCCTCAGTCTCCTGCTGCAAGACTAGATTTGTTAAATACTGTTGTATGAAAGTAGTATTTCTAAGAGCAGCTTTGAGTACTGTCTCTTTTGGAATTTCTTTGATGAAGTATAGTTTGTTCACTTCATATTTTGTTCCAAGAAGGGAAACTCTTAATTCTTACTTTAAATTATATTTTGAAGAGATGCAGAAAACGAATCAATAATCCTTAGTATTCTCTCCTTTAATCTTGTCATCTAATCATTGAAAATATGTATTTGTCTTTGACCAATGGAGTAGCCGAAGAGCCTTGAACATTACCTGAATCTGGAAGACAGCAAACTTCTCACCCACCTTAAGACATGCTTGGCTATGAATAAACTCCCATATGACTTGTGGTTCATGCATTGTTTTGCAGGCTGTTTGCCTGAATCCAGCCTTCAAAGGTAGGTGTTCTATTGCATTAGTAATTACAAAATATCATAATTATTTAAAATAAAAATGAATGTGTGCATTGCATTAGCAGTAAATAGGTAGTTTGCTGGATGAAATGGTGATATGTCGAGACATACAGCATGGAAACAGACTCTTCAGCGCAACTGATCCATGTAAATCAGTTTTCCTAAACTGAACTAGTCGCATTTGCATGCATTTGGCCCATATTCCTCTAAATCTTTCCTATCCATATACCTGACCAATTGTCTTTTAAATGTTGTAATTGTGCTCGCCTCTACCACTTTCTCTGGAAATTCATTTCATATTTGGACCACCCTCTGCGTGAAAAAGTTGCCCGAGGTCCCTTTTAAATCTTTCCCCACTCACCTTAAACTTATGCCCTCTAGTTTTGGACTGCCCTACCCTGAAGAAAAGACCTTGGCTGTTCACCTTATCTGTGCCCCTCGTGATTTTATAAACCTCTATAAGGTCACCCCTTAGCCTCCTAGGCTCCGGGGAAAATAGGTCCCAGCCTATCCAACCTCTCCTTATAACTCAAACCCTCGAATCTCGGTAACATCCTCGTAAATCATTTTTGCATCCTTTCCAATTTAATAACATCCTTCCTAGATCAGGGCGACCGGAATCGTATGCAAAATTGTACATACGACAATGACGCTGCAATCATTTTATATGTTGGTATGTATCAAACATATGAAAAAGGTATGCCCTATTGTCAGAATTAAAAACAGAAATTGCTGGAAAAGCTCAGCAAGGTCTGGCAGCATCTGTAGAGAGAAATCAGACTTAAATGTTTTGGGTTGAGTGACACTTCCTCAGAACACAGCCTGAAAGAACTTCAGATGTTGAAAATCTGAAACAAAAACAAATTGCTGAGGAAACTCAGCAGGCCTCACAGCATTTGTGGAAAGAAATGTTTCAAGTCCAGTGACTTCTTCAGTTCTAAAGCCATCAGGGTCAGGGACTTAACTGCTTTAGCCCCATTCGTTTGTCTAGTACTACTTCTCTGGTAATGGTACTTAATTCCTCCCCTGTATTCTTTAGTGTTAATGAGATGTTTGAACTATCTTCCACTATAAAGACTGTTGCAAAATATCTGTTTAACTCCTCTGCCCTTTCCTTGTTTCTCATAACTAACTCCCCGAGTCATTTTCTAAGGGACCTTTTTTCATTTTGACCTCTCTTCCTTTTATATTTTTAAAGAAGCTCTTATTGTCAATTTTTATATTCCTCATTGGTTTGGTCTCATTTATTTTGCCTGTCTTTATTATCTTTTTAGTTCTCACTCGTTAGATTCTGAATTAATCCAGTGTTTGGGGCTATCATTGACTTTTGTCTCCTCATATGTTTTTGCTTTCAACTTTATACCTTCTTAACTTCCTTGGTTAGCCATGGTTTATCCCTCTCTTAGAATCTTTCCTTGTTACTGGGATGTATTTTTGCTGAGAGTCATGAATGACCATCTTAAATGTTCGCTGCTACTTGTTTACTGTCTTCCCTGCTAATGTATCTGCCCATTTTAGAGAGCACATCCTTAATGTAGGTATGAGATATCCTGTCAAAGGCCTCCTCCTGGTCCAGGCTGATGAGGCAAGTGTCTACCTCCCTGTCCTGTACATAGGCGAGACTGTCAGCAATCTTCCTGCACATACAGCACCAATTTGGTCAGTATGTTAGTTGATAATGCGATTTTAATCTGAGTCTTTTAATACTTTTTTCCACTTGGGCCATGTTGATTGTTGATATTTTCTACCATTCAGTGAAGCCACTAGATGCCTTCAGTATCTTCCGTAAATGACAACTGAGTCCAGAGAGTGTATGTAAATGACTATTATTTGATTGTGGAAACAACCACAGTTCAAAGCTGATCCTTTTATTTTATCATGTACACGTACCTATTTGCCTGCTAAAGTCATAAGATTGAATTTGAGATCTTCAATTTTTGTTAATTTTTATTTTTAAATTTCAAACTCATTCATGAAACTTGTTGTCCCAGCTCACAGAATTAACTCAAAACGAATTGAAAATGAAATTGGACGCCTGTAGGGTTTAGTGCAGCATTAAGTAGTGTCTTTACCTACTTGACCTTTAAGAAGCCGGATTTCAAATCTACTCGTTGAGGATCTAACAACATAGTTTCATGTAGCAGCCCTTAGATGAAAGCAAAGTTTTAATAAGGTGAAAGGAAGTTGAAAAACTAGGAGCAAGGTGAATACAGTCAATGAACAGATTTTAAAATTTTTTTGAAGTTGGACAGAGGTAGCAGAAAAAATATTCTTGGAAAAGAATTTTAAAGAAGAAACACAAATATTAAAGTTCAGTCTTCCATGCTGACGCAGAGAAATGAACAATATTCTCATGATAGAAATGTGAATTCTGCAGACTGGCACTTAGACCTGTAGGAGACTCTGCAAATAGGATCATTAGGGCCAACATCTAATGCTTTATGAAATCAACAAGGTAAAGAACTTATTTCAGCTTGGATTGTTCCGCAGATTAGGTGTAAACATTTGCTTGTACAAAGTAGAGATGAATTTTGTAAAACTCCATAGAAGTCAGAACAACATACATAGATTCAGGACATAGTCAAAAAGAATTTGCCTTATCTGAACATCCAGCGTGCTGCGAAAAAGCGAATACTTCAAGTCAACAGCAATTGCCTGGTTCAGAGTGGAGGATATCATAAGAAAGTATTTACTTCATCAGAGCAGTCATCTTGCAATGTGTATCTTCGTCAGATTAAAGATCCCCTAGGTGATGTTATGAGGTAACTATGGGGATGAGCAGGAAAACATCCTCAATGAAGGATATCTAAGAAAGAAAAGATTCTCTAATGGAGAAGTGATATACAGAAAATCCTAATCAAGGTCAACTATCCTTAAGCCAATCTCCTAGGTCAGAAGGAAATGTGGTCTGGAAGAATTCCACAACCACTAGACTGACTACATCTGTGAAGTTGGTGTCTTTGAGGGAGAAGGGGAGATAGAGTAGTTGTAAATGTAGAAGTACTTACATGCAGTAACCACATGGTAGGACAAAATATCAACAAAGAAACTATGGGAGCTTGTCAAAAGCAACTATCATGTGTATTTTTAACCTACATACAAACTAGAAAAGTCAGATGGGTAATAAATAGTCTAGATTGGCAGTTGGTTGAATATTTTTGGGACAATTTCTTACACCAGTATGTTTTGACAAACGAGATAGGATTAATTGCTGATCACATATTGAAAGCACCCCTGGGTAGCAGTGACCATAAATAGGTAGGGGCATGGAATGCATTGCCGGAGAGGGTAGTGGAGTCGGCCTCGTTAGGGGCATTTAAGCAGCTATTAGATAGGCATATGGATGATAGTATAAGGTAGCGGTGGAGGTTAGATAGACCTTAGGTTTAGGGTAAAAGTTCGGCACAACATCGCGGGCCGAAGGGCCTGTACTGTGCTGTACTGTTCTATGTCAACGTATCCTCTGGAGTTTAGAAGAGTCAGAGGTGACTAAATTGAAATATATAAGACTCTGAGGGGACTTGACCAGGTAGATGTTGAAAGTGTATTTCCACTTGTGAGAAAATCTAGAACCAGGTCTTGTAGTTTAAGAATAAGGGATCACTCATTTAAAACAGATGAGAAAACTTTTTTTTCTCCGAGGGTTGAGTGTTTTTTTAGAATTCTCTTCCAAAGGCAGTAGATAGAGAATCTTTAAATATTTTTAGGCAAAGGTAGATAGATTCTCAATTACTAAGGGAATCAGAGGGCGGCTAAGAGTTATCATAGCGGAATTCTGGGAGACATCACCACAGGCATCTCGACTGTACAGCAGGTCAGAGGGCACCTGGTGTCAAGGTGTGGTTAGACCTGAAACACTACATTGATGTTTCCCACACTCCCTCCTCTGACCAAAAGAAAAAGGGCTGTGTGAGGAGGACGACTGGCAAGGTAAAGGTGTACAAGGGAGCAGCCATTAAGAGAGTGAGCCACTGTTAGATTGGAAGTGCTGAGGCTTTTGCTGGAATGGTTTGGCCGTGGGGAAGCTGAGCAGGGGTACAGGTAAGAGCTCCTAAACTCTACTCTTTCTCTCTAGACTGAAGGCAGTGGCGAATGGCAGTTGGGGCAGTGGCATGCTCCTCTTGCAGGATGTGGGAGATCTGGGAGACTTTCAGTGTCTGTGGTAGCTACACCTATCAGAAGTTCACCCGGTTACAGCTCCTGACAGACAACATTGTGGAACTGGAGCTGGAGCTGGATGCACTCAGGATCATCCGGGGTGCAGGGAACAATTTTGATAGGAGCTATAGTGAAGTGGTCACTCCTGAGGTGGCTGGGTGATCACTAGAAGAGTTAAAGGGGGAAGGCAGATAGTGCAGAATTCCCCTGTGGCCATTCCCCTCAATAACGGTTATACCACTTTGGATACTGTTGTGGGGGGTGACCTTTCAGGGACTGGCAGCAGCAAACAGGTCAGTGGCACTGTGACCGACTCTGAGGCTCAGAGGAAATGGATGCAGTCAGACAGAGTGATACTGATAGGAGACTCAGTTGTGAGGAGGACAGAAAGGAAATTCTGTGGCCGCAGAAAAGACACCAGGATGGTATGTTGCCTCCCAGGTGCCAGGGTCAAAGATGTCTCTGAGCGGTCGCAGAACATTCTGAAGGGGGAGGGTAAACAGCCAGAGGTCATTGCATGTTGGTACAAATGACATAGGTAGACAAAGGGATGGGGTCCTGTGAAATGAGGATAGAAAGTTAGGTAAGAAATTAAAAGGCAGGACCTCAAGCGTAGTGATCTCCGGATTACTCCCAGTGGCACACACCAGCGAGGATAGAAATAGAAAGATATGCCGCATGAATGCATGGCTGAGAAGCTGGTGTGGGGGGCAGGGTTTTAAGTTCCTGGATCATTAGGATCTCTACTGGGGTAGAGGGGACCTGTACAAGAGGGATGTGTTGCACTTGAACCGGAGGGGGTCCAATATCCTTATGGAGAGAGTTGCTAGTGTTACCAGGGAGAGTTTAAACTAGCGTGGCAGGGAGGTGGGACTCTGAATAAGAGAGGGGCCATCTAGAAGTCATGGAAAAATATATTAGCCATCGAGAGAAAGTTTACTGTGCCCCTGGCTATCCTGAATAGTAAAGGGAGGGAATAGACTTCTGCTTTAATGTGCATTTATTTCAACTCACGAGGCCTGACTGGTAAGGCAGATGAGCTCAGAGCATGGATTGGCTCTATTGACTTGGATATTATAGCCATAATAAAAATATGGCTGAGAGAAGGACAGGACTGGCAGCTCAATGTTCCAGAATACAGAAGCTACAGACGCGACAGAGGGGGAGTTGCCTTTTTGATAGGGGAGGACATAACAACAGTGCTTAGAGAAGATATTCTTAAGGGGTCATCAAATGAGGCTATATGGTTAGAACTTAGAAACAAGAAAGGGATGGTCACTCTGTTGGAACTGTATTATAAACCCCCAAATAGCAGCGGGTACTAGACGAGCAGATGTGTGGAGAGATTGTAGATACCTGTAGCAATAACAGAGTAGTATTGGTTGGAGATTTTAATTTCCCCTCTATTGAATGGGTCACCCAGAGTGTAAAAGGCCTGTTTGGGGTGGAATTTGTCAAATGTGTCCAAGAAAGTTTCCTAAATCAATATGTAGAGGGTCCTACTTGGGAGGGTGCAACACTGAACTTCCTCTTAGGAAACGAGTTTGGGCAAGTGACTGAAGTTTCAGTCAGAGAGCACTTTGGGTGCAGTGACCATAACTCTGTTAGTTTTAACATAGTTATAGAAAAAGATAGGACGGGTCCACAGGTTAAGGTGCTAAACTGGAGCAGGGCCAATTTTGGGGCCATTAGGCAGGATCTAGCAGCGGTCAATTGGGTGAATCTGTTTGAAGGAAAAGCAACAACTGGCAAATGGGAGGCTTTTAAAAATGTAATATCAAGAATCTGGCAACAGTATGTCCCTGAGGGTAAGGGAAAATCTGGCAGGTTTAAGGATCCCTGGCCAACGAGGATATTGTGGCTCTGGTCAGGAAAAGAAGGCAATGCGGGGTGTAAGCAATCGGGCTCAAGTGAATCCCTAGATGATTATAAAAAATATAGAAGGACACTTACGAGGAAAAGCAGAAAAGAAAAAAAAGGGTATGAGATGAAGCTGGCAGATAAGGTTAAAGATAATCCCAGGTTCTATAGCTATATTACAAGTTAAAAGGATGGCTAGGGAGAGAATAGGTCCCCTTAAAGATCAGCATGGCTGTCTATGTGTGGAGCCACCAAAGATGGGGAGATTTTTAATGAATATTTCTCCTCAGTGTTTACTGAGGAGGGAATCATGGATGCGAAGGAAATAAGGGAAACAAGTGGGGATGTTTTGAACTGCATATATATTACCAGAGAAGGAGGTGTTTGCAGCCTTAGATCACATTAAGGTACTAAATCCCCTGGACCTGATCAACTCCATCCTCGGACGTTGTGGGAGGCTAGGGAAGAAATTGCAGAGGCCCTTGCAGAGATTTTTGCTTCATCTTTAGCTACTGATGAAGTTCCAGAAGACTAGAGCGTGGCTAATGTTGTTCTGTTGTTTAAGAAAGGTAGCAAAGTCAAGCCAGGGAACTACAGGCCAGTGAGTCTGACATCAGTGGTAGGCAAGTTTTTGGAGAGCATGCTGAGGAACAGGATCAACCAATATTTGGATAGTCAAGGTCTGATTAGGGATAGTCAGCATGGATTTGTGTTGTGGAACTGAGGGACCTAGGAGTACAAGTAAATAGTTTGTTGAAAGTGGCATCACAGGTAGTCAGGCTGGTGAAGAAGGCATTTGTCATGCTGGCCTTCATCGGTCGAGGCATTGAGTAAAGGAGTTGGGACATTATGTTACAATTGTATAAGCTGTTGGCGAGGCTGCGCTTGAAATATTGTGTACAGTTTTGGTCACCCTGTTATAGGAAAGACATAGTTAAGCTGGAATGTATGCAAAGAAGATTTACGAGGATGTTGCCAGGACTAGTAGGCCTGAGTTATAAGGAGAGGTTGGCCAGGATAAGACTTTATTCCTTGGAACGTAGGAGATTGAGGGGTGACCTTATTGAGGTGTATAAAATCATGAGGGGCATGGATAGGATGAAAGCAGTCTTTTTCCCAGGGATGGGGAATTGAAAACTAGAGGGCATAGATTTAAGAAGGACCTGAAGGGCAACTTCTTCACGCAGAGGGTGTTGCGTATATGGAATGGGCTGGCAGAGAAAGTGGTTGATGCAGGTACAATAGCAACATTTAAAAAACATTTGGGTAGGTACATGGATGGGAAATGTTTAGAGAGATATGGACCAAATGTGGGTCTATTGGAACTAGCTGAGTGGGCAGCATGGACCAGTTTGGGCCAAAGGGCCTGTTTCCATGCTTATTTCTGTATGACTGTATGCATACATGATTATCAGGGATGTGCAAGAATACAGAGTTGAAGTTAAAATCAGATCAGCCGTGATCTGACTGAATAATGAAGCTGGCTCAAAGGATCAATGGCCTACTCTTGTTCCTTGTTTGTATGCAAATTTCAAAGAACCCCTAGGTCTCTCTATTCTGCAACACTACCCAGGACCCTACCATTAATGGTATGGTTCCTATCCTTGTTTGTATTACCAAAATGCAATACCTCACATTTATCCAACTTAAACTTCATCTGCCATTCCTCAGCCCATTGACCCAATCTCTTTGTAATCTTGGATAACTTTCTTCACTGTGTGCTAATCCACCAATTTTGGTGTCATCCACAAACTTACTAACAATGCCTCCTATGTTCACATCCAAATCATTTATATAAATGACAAAAAAAGTTGTACAGACTTTTAAAACAGCAACCGTTACTTTTGACAACCTAATTGTAAAAAATCCAAATATTTAATCTTCTGCAACTTGTGGATACAGAGCCAAAACAAACTGAGATGAAGAAAAGTGGCAGGATGTTGTGTAACTTCTTGAGCTCCACACATAGCTTACATCCATAGACTAAGCTAATGTTGAGGTCCGGGTTTGCTGAACATATATCTAAACATTGCATGCTTTTATTAAAGTACAAGTTGTAGCAATGTACAGCAAGGAAGCAGTAACTCATGAATTATAAGGTGTTGCAATTTGCCAGCCAATGTATCACTCCAATGTTTGATGAAAACTGCATTGCCCTTTAAACTTTTCCATAATTTTTATGGAGTTGCTGTATTTGCACATTAATTGCCCATAAAATGCACCACAGAAAGTTAAGTAATGAACAATGTAAGTAAATATCCTTGTAATATGGTTTTTGATTGAAAGTTATTCATAATATTCCGTATCCAGAAAATGAGAAATTAAGTATGGCATCTCATTTCTTCAACTGCAGCACTGAATTGTTGCAAATACTAAAAATATCAAATTTTAAAATTTGCAAGAAAAAATGTCCCTGATGTTCTGTCTGCGTTTTCTCCCTCAATCTTTAATCCAGTCTTTCTTTCCTCCTCTGGCATTAAACTGACTGTCTTGAATACATCCTTCTTCCTCTGTTTATGTCTTTTCTTTAATCTTCTGGGTTAGAATGAAGTCCATTGCTCACCAAAATCCCAAGTAGATCATAGAATCCCTACAGTGAGGAAACAGGCCCTTCAGCCCAAAAGTCCACACCGAACCTCAGAGCATCCCACCCAGACCCATCCCCCTATAAACCCACCTAATCTACACATCCCTGAACACTACGGGCAACATAGAACCATGCCAGAGGAGGAAAGAAAGACTGGATTAAAGATTGAGGGAGAAAACGCAGACAGAACATCAGGGACATTTTTTCTTGCAAATTTTAAAACAGTACAGCATAATACAGGCCCTTCGGCCCATGATGTTGTGCCGACCTATTATCCTACTAAGGTCAATCTACCCTGCATACCCTACATTTTAATATCCTCCATGTGCCTATCCAAGAGTCGTTTAAAAGTCTCTAAAGTATCTGACTCCACTACCACTGCCGGCAGCGCATTCCACACGCCACCACTCTCTGTGTGAAGAACCTACCTCTGACATTCCCCCTATACCTTCCTCCAATCACCTTAAAATTATGCCCCCTCGTAATTGTAATTTTAGCATGGCCAATCCACCTAGCCTGCACATCTTTGGACTGTGGGAGGAAACTGGAGCACCCGGAGGAAGCCCACACAGACATGGGGAGAATGTGCAAACTCAACACAGACAGTCGCCCGAGGGTGGAATCGAACCCAGGTTCCTGGCACTGAGGCAGCAGTGCTAACCACTGTGCCACCCCCGTTATCTCATGAACACTCTCCAAATGTTGTATGAATGTTATGAGGCATTTTATTTACTTAGTTTGTGAAACCATACTAACAGCATTTATGATTTTCAATTTTCAGGGTTTGGGACAAAATCATAAGTGGATCTTGCAAAATTTTGGTTTTTGTAGCCATGGAGATTTTATTAACTTTTAAAATTAAGTTAATGGCCATGAATAAAGCAGAGAATATTGCACAGTTCTTGCAGAATGTAAGTATCACTGAACCTTGAATTCATCATAATACTACATTATGGTTTATTAGTAGCATGCCTGTGTAAATTGCCTCCCCAGTAATGATATTTGAAAAGTAAAGCTGAATATTTTGTCTGGAGTTTGTATTGCAAAATGCTTTGCATAATGCATCTTTTAGCTAGTGTCCCTTTCTCTTGACGGCAGATTAAGCAATTTTAGTTATCAAACTAGATTTTCTCTATCAATTGCTGGTCTTTGATTATAAAAAAAATTAACTTTATATAATTATCATAAGCTACAAAATAGTGTAATTGAGAATATGTGAGAACTATGATGCTGCGGGTGAGCATATACATTCGAACACCATGCATATACCACCTGTACACGTTCACCCTTTATGCATGCCACATGCGCATGCAGACCACATGCTTGACCCCATTTACCGTGCAGTATGTGCACTCCCACCCAGACCATGAATACGCCACACATAAAGGAAGTTCACCATAGTAATAAAAGCAAAATACTGCAAATACTGGAAATCTGCAAATGCATAAAATTCTGGAGAAACCCAGCATATCTGGCAGCATCTGTGGAGAAAGAAATAGTTAATGTCTGATATGACTTCCAAACAATTCTTCAACAGCTGTTCTGAAGAAGCGTTGTATTGGACTTGAAACGTTAATTCTGTTTCTTCCTCCACAGATGCTACCAAGATGGCTGTGGTTGTTGCATTTCCACCATCTCAGCCCCAGGGTATCACTGCAGTTCCTCACGGCAGTATTGTAGGTCCAATCATCTTGGAAAAATAGGAGCAGAAGTAGGCCATTAGACCACGAGCCTGCTCTGCCATTCAGCTACCTCATGACTAATCTTTTATTTCTACACAGTCATCATCCCGTGATAACTTTAATATGTTGAAATCTGTTGATCTCTGTCTTGAACATGTTCAATGACTGAGCTTTCAAAGCCCTCTGATGTAGAAATTTACAAAGATTCTTTTGAGTGATGAAATTCCTGCTCATCTGAGTCCTCAGTCACAACCTTTATTCCGTGACTGTCCTTTGGTTTCAGATCTCTAGCCAGGGGAAATATCTTGCATCGATCTTGTTGAGCTTGGAAGGATTTGATTTTTTTTTGTTACTTTATCAGTCACTTTCCCTGTATCCAAAGGCCAGAAGTGGGCATGTTCACTGATAATTACACAACATTCACTATCATTTGTAGTTCCTCAGATATTGAAACAGTATGTAGTCAGACCTGGACAACACTTAGGCTTGAACTGATGAGCAGGTAAAATGCATACCAGGTGTGTCCATAGCCAACAAAAGAGAGAAATTAAGCATTTCCCCTTATTGACTATTGACATTGCCATTGCTGAATCTCCCACTGTATATCAACATCAACAAAAGCAGGTCAGAGTCTGTGAACTGCACAGAAGTAACCCACTTCCTGACTCACAAAAATCTATCTTCCATCTACATGAAACAGTTCAGGAGTATGATGAATTCTGTCCAACTGGCTGGACAAGCTCAGCTCCAACAACACTCGAAGGGAAAATCAGCCCAATTGATTGACCATAAGAACGCAAGAAATAGGTGCAGGAGTAAGCCATTCAGCCCCTCAAACTTGTTCTGCCATTCAGTAGGATCATGGCTGATCAAACATTCCAAACATTCACTTTCCTGCCCTTACCCCCTAACCTTGTCTGCTGATCAACAATCGGGAATTGTGAAGCCATCAACGGCCTGAAGTGCACTCCACTAACAGTCCATAGTTGAAGCACTGTGCTATATCTACAAGATACACTGCAGTAACTTGTTAAGGCTCCTTTGATAGAAGTTTTCAAACCCTGGATTGATTTCACTTTGAAAGACGAGCAGCAGGTGGATAGGAGCACCAAAGTCTTCACATTCTCCTCCAGGTTATGCACCATCCTGACTTGGAAAATGTTGTAGTTTTTTTTGTCACTAGATCAAAATCATAAATTCTCTTCCTAACTTCACTGTTGGAATCTATTCACGTGTGCTGCAGCAATACAAGAAGGCAGCTCATCACCACCTCAAGAACAGTTAGAAGTGGGCAATAAATGCTGAGCTTAAACGAAGACAGAAAATGCTGGAGCAACTCAGCAGGTCTGGCAGCATCTGTTGAGAGAGAAACAGAGTTAATGTTTCAAGTCCAATATGATACTTCTTTGGATCTCTGAGATGCTGCCAGATCTGCTGAGGTACTCCAGCATTTTCAGTTTGTTTCAGGATTCTGGCATCTGTTGTATTTTGCTTTAATTTAAATGCTGACCTTACCAGCTATCCCCAGCTCCAATTTTAGATCTCATTTTTACGTCTTAAAATGTCATTTAGCTATTGTAGCGTTTAAGAAATAATTGGAAATTATGATCTTGTCACTATTAATTTCGTTTTGCTGAAAAATAACATTTTAGCAGCTTTTTGTCTTGCACTCATGAAAGCAATTGCAAGTAAAGGGTAAACAACATTCACTGTGATGGGAGAGTGCTGATTGGTTGGTAAGTGAACTTGATTGGTAAGAGTATTTTCCTGGAGAATGCACTAGTTAATAATGACTGACAGTTAATTGCAAAGCTTTGTTTATAATTAAAATGGGGCAGGTTAACTCTGGTCATGGACTTTCATGAGAGATGAAACCTGAGAGTAACTGTCTTTGATGAGTTGAAAAAGGTTCAATGCTTCTTCTTTCAGTCCGTAAAGATTGAAGCCCTGTGTATTAACATACATAGCTACTAGTATAAACAGTGTATCACACTGGAAGCTCAACTGACAATCCTAAATTGGTTGTCAATATAATTCTGCACATACTCAGGATTATGTGGAAAATCATAAATTGGTGCAATTTTCATGTCAATGCCTCTACCAGTCAGAATCTACGTGCTAACCAACCAACGCACTTCCCTTATACAGTATAAATGTGGTTTGCCCTTTTACTTTAGTATTCTTGAGAATTGTCATGATGAGTACAAGATGAAAAGCTTTGACAAAATGTCTTTTCAACAATTCTCAAATTCTATGCCACCAAATAAATATTACTTTACTTACCCAATTGTGACAGTGTGGTAATTGTGTGTTCATTTAGATTCCACAGGAGAATACAGATGCCATCATCAGCAAGGCTATTGACCTATGGCACAAGTATGTTGGAAACCCACTGCACACTGTGTAGTTAAAAACCTAATGAAATTAATGTAAAAATAAATCTTCTATTTAATAATTTATTAAAGTAATTTTGCACAAAATTTTGAGTAATTGATTTTAAGAAACCAAGACAATGATGTAGCAAAAGCAAAACACTGAACATCAGACTTCAGAAATAAAAGCAGAAACTGCTACAAATATTGGCAGCAACTGTAGAGAGAGAAATTAAGTTAAAAAGTTATATTTCCTGACCTTGTGGAAGCAATGTTGGAGGTGTTAGGGAGCTTGATGGTGTGGGAAGGTAGTGATGAGGTATGTCCAGGCTATTCCCCGAATTATTTCCACCTGTGGAGGAGGATGGTTGGGAATTGTGTTTGCTCCTCACTTATGGACTATTTTGTAATCGTATCAGTTGTTTCCAACTGTTGGCAAGGTCCCTGTCTGGTGCAAAGCCTAGCGGTTAATTGGTGGTAGGCTGGGTACCATTGGAGCCAGAGGTTCCTATTATGAAGCCACGTGGATGAAAGACGTCAAACCTGTCCGAAATCAATTCTACAGAGAGATTTCATCTCAAAGCCGAGAGACTACTGGCTTCAGACCTTATTAGTTCCTGACTCCTATGCAGGCTACTTAGGAAGTCTTCCTTTTGAGGTGCCCTCATGATTGTCTTTCTGCTTAATAATGGCCACCTTTCCTGAGGGGGCTACTAGCCATCCTATACTGTGGTCCTGTGGGCTTTCAGCATCAAGAATCTATCCATCACTCTCAATTTAATGTGAAGGTGACCAGTTGGGAGACTGTCTTCTGGAATGTTGAGCTGCTCGTGATGTGAGCAGGCTACAATTGCACATATGGCCTAATGTCAGGAACTCACTGCTCACCCAAAAATTCAGTATAACTATCTAGTTCAATGACATATTACATTTGACTATTCACATAAGACATGGGGTTCTATTCCAGAGACTTGCTCCAGTGCAGTTTTGAGCGAGTGCTGCACTTTCAGTTGTGCTGTCCTTTCAACGCAACCTTCAGTTAAGATCCTATTTGTCATTATCTGATATTATCTCAAAGAAGAGTAGGTGAGTTCTTAGCATCCTGATCAATGTATATTGTTTGACCAACATTACCAGAAACAGATTATCTGGTCATTACTTCACTGCCATTTGAAAGATCTTGCTGTGCATAAATTAGTTACTATGCTTTCAATTATGAAGCAATGCGGGTGAAAGACAGTATTGCATTAATGACTACATTTAAAAATGCTTTATTATGTGAAAAGCACTTTTGAAATGTCCTGGGGTCATGAACAGCACGGTATAAGTGCAACATATTTTGTATTAATGCAAGCAATTTCTACAATATGCATGTTTTTCAGAATAATCCTGTTGTAAGTTCTCTGGTCCTGATGCACGTCAAGTGTAGTCAAACATGAACAGTACTGTAGGGAATGTGTTGTGAATTTGCACAAGTTTGACTTGTTAACTGTTGGATTGTGTGGGTGTTGGTAAACTCAGTTGATTGGCTGGTTTGCGATGCAGTGTGACACCAACAATGCAGGTTCAACTCTCACACTGGCTGAGGTTACAACTTTACTGCTCACCTGAGGTGTGGTGACCCACAAGTCAAACCACCACTAGTCATCTCTCTAATGAGAGATTAGTCCTATGGTCCTCTGGGAGTATGGCAACTTTTACCTTTTATTCTATTCCAAACTGACTTAAATATTCTCATCACATATCTGAAGATCCCGCTACTCTGATTGAATGTGATGGGGAATTGTCTATGATATTTGAAGTATATATCTAGTTCACCATTATGTAGTGTTGACAATTTCCATATGACTATACCAACTGATCACAAAAGGAGAACTGGGGATAGTGGAATGTTTGTAATTCGAAAATATTTTAAGATCACGAAATAAAAGGATAGATTGTAACTAACAAGGCAGCATATCAGCTGAGCAGAATATTTGAGTTTTTTCTCTGTATGCTATGGGGTTATTTTTCATACTCTAGGAAATAAAAGCCCGTTGAAAAGAGAATTATCTGATGGATTTATCATAAAACCAGAAAAAAATGGAAAGCAGAATTGGCAATAGGACAAGCGAATTAATCCCTTAGTTTATACCTACAAGTCATTTATTCTTCTGTAAATACTTAATATTGCAGATGAATGCAAAGGAAATAGATTAAGAAGGACCATGGCCATTTTTTCATGGGGTAATGTTCTGTAATTAACACTTTCAAAACTTTAATCAAAGAAAACATACTATTTACAGTCACTTCCTTAGCAACTAAAACTTTGTGTGAAACATGCTGACCTCTCATTAACTTAATGAGGATCAACAAAAAATAATTAATGTCAAATAACCTCAAATCCCCCCCCACCACCAAAAAATGTAATTGTAGTTCACTTTCTCTGTTATAAAATGTAGAAGCCATGAGGGAATTATTCCTATATAAAAAGTCAAAAGACTTCAGGGTTAACACAGTGTGGAGCTGGAGGAGCACAGCAGGCCAGGCAGCATCGGGGGAGCAGGAAAGCTGACGTTTTGGGTCGGGACCCTTCTTCAGAAAATCAGGGTGCTGTGCATTCCATGGTGGGTATGATCTTTTGGATATGGCACAATGCAAATTCACTAGGGTGTTGTGTGGTGTAAAGAAATACAAGCATGCAGATAAACGTAAAGAACATGTTTATTTATCATAGAACAACACTGATTAAGGGGCAAATAATTGAAGTGGTTAAATTGGGGTGGCATGGTGGCTCAGTGGTTAGCACTGCTGCTTCACAGCGCCAGGGACCTGGGTTCGATTCCAACCTCAGGCAACTGTCTGTGTGGAGTTTGCACATTCTCCTCGTGTCTGTGTGGGTTTACTCCAGCTGCTCGGGTTTCTTCCCACAGTCTGAAGATGTGGAAGGTAGGTGGATTAGCCATGCTAAATTGCCCGTAGTGTTCAGGGATGTGTAGATTAGGTAGGTTATAGGGGGATGCGTCTGGGTGGGATGCTCTGAGGGTTGGTGTGGACTTGTTGGGCTGAACAGCCTGTTTCCACACTGTAGGGATACTAAGAAACAAATTATTGAAAGGCATGATGGTGGAATCAAAGGCAAATGAGAGAAATCAGAGAATTGAGCAATGAAGCCAGAATTCGAACAAAATGACCCACAACAATGCCACTGATTCTTAATTGCCTTCTGAAATGCACCACCTCGCAAGCTACTTGATTGCATTAAAGAATGACATAAATGTTTCATAACTATAAAACTGAACGGAAAATCACATTTTGACCCAGGCAACAAACGTAACAATGGCACACTGCAGCCAGTTAGTCTTGAAAATACTCACTATGTCTGGTGTATGTGCTAAAGTTAAGAGAGTAGTTTCAGAAAATAGTCACTCAAAGAATCTGACATTGCCATACTGAAAGAATCAGTCGATGCTCCAAATTCACTAATCACCAGAGATAGCACAGTCTCCATATGAGGGCACGTGAAGTCAGGTCACACGTGGAAATTTGATTATCAACTGCTCCTAGAAAACAATATGCTAGCAGGTGAAGAATTGGAACACAGGGATGAATGTGTAATGGGAAAACAGTGGTGGCAGCAATGAAAAGAGTCACAGAGGTGGCAAGAATACAGATTCTTGATCATAGTTGTTTACAAAATTATACATTCAAGATTTTTATGGACAAGTGGTGGAACAGTCACTACATCTACTAGGGGTTTTCCCCCCCACCCATGCCCCAAAAGTCTCCCACCTTATAGTCCAACAAGCCCACACAGCCCACTTCTAGTTCTTCCCAAAATCCACAAACAGGACTACTGGGGCAGACCCATTGTTTCTGCCTGTTCCTGCCCCATGGAACTTATTTCTTCTGCCCTTGACTCAATTTTCTTTTCTCCTTTTGTCCAGTCCCTTCCCATGTACATTTGAGATTCTTCTGATGCTTTACTTTGGTTATAAAGTTTCCTATTTGCAGGCATCAACCGCCTCCTCTTCACCATGGACATTCTATCCCTTACATATCCACCCCACTTCAGGATAATTTTCAAGCCTTCTGCTTCTTCCTGAAAAGAAAGCCCGAACTGTCCCCATGCACCACTACCCTCCTCTACTTGGCCTAGCTTGTCTTCATTTTGAACAACTTCTCCTTTAACTCCTTCCATTTTCTTCAGATCAAAGGTGTAGCTATGGGTGTGCCTCAGTAATGCTGGTCTTTTTGTGGAACATTCTTTGTTCTAATTTGAGTCCTTCCCTATAACTCTTTCTGGTACATCAATGACATTATTGGTGCTGCTGCCCCCCTCTTATTTGGAAATGGAAAAGTTTTATCAAGTTTGCTTCCAAATTCCACCCAGCTCTCACCTTCACCTGGTTCATCTCTCTCTCCTCCCCTTCTTCAACATCTCTGTTTCCGTTTCTGAGAACAGGCTGACCACCAATATCCATTACAGACCCACTGACTTCCACAGTTACCTGGATATACATCCTCACACCCTGCTTCCTCGAAAAGATCCATCACATTCCCTCAGTTTCTGTGTCTCTATCACATCTGTTCTGGTGATTACACCTTCTACAGTGGGGCCTAAGAAATGTACTCCATTTTCCCCACGCAAGGATTTCTCACTACCGTAGCTGACAGGGCCCTTAGCCTTAGCCTTAGCCTTAGCCTTAGTTTCCTGCACTTTTTCCCTCAACCCTCTCTTCCTTCCCATACTAACAATAGGGTCCTCTTGATCCACACTTTTCTCTGCACCAGCCTACACATCCAGTGGGTCATACAGTGTGCCATTTCCACCACTTCCAACAGGATGCCACCATCAGATACCTATTCTCCTCCCCTCTCATGTCAGCATTCCACAGGACCATTCACTCTGGGAGATCCTGTTCCACCCCAGCACTCCCAACACTTTCCCATGTCCCCAT